GACAAAAATACATGACAAGAACAACTTAGAGAATGAAAAGTTTATTTTGGCTCATGGTTTCAGAGGTCCAGTGTGTGGTCAGCTGACTCCAAGTTGGGGCAGAACATCGTGGCAGAAGGGTATGGTGGAGGAAAACCCTGCTCATGATGGCTGTGTGTGTGGGGAACCTCAGGGAAGTTGAAGCCTTCCAAGGCACACCAACCAGTGACCAGCTCCTCCAGCCATACCCAACCCGCCTATAGTTACCACATAGTTATAGTCAGTCTGTTCAAACTAAGGTGGACTGATTAGGTTGCAGCTCTCATAATCTAATCATTTAACTTCTGAATATTCCTACATTAACACAAGAGCTTTTAGGGAACAACTCATACCCAAACCACAACAGCCTTTAAGTAGTCATAAATGGAAAATTCTAGGCTTTGTAGTATAGTCACTGATTTATTTTGCTTTTTCATTATTATGACCAAAAGACCTGACAAGAACAATTTTAAGGAGGAAAAGTTTATTTTGGCTCACAGTTTGAGAGCTCTCAGTCCATAGATAGCCAACTGTATTCTTTGGGGCCTGAGGTGAGGTATAACATTATGGTAGAAGAGTGTGATGGAAGAAAGCAGCTAGGAACCAGGCACCAGGAAGCAGATATCTCTCCTTACAACAAAATATAAACCTTAAAGGCACACCCCCATCAACCCACTTCCTTCAGCCACACCCTACCTACCTAGAGTTACCATCTAGTTAATCCATTCAAGTGAGTTAATGCACTGATTAGGTTAAGGCTCTCATAACCTGATCATTTCACCTTTAAGCTTTCTTGCATTGTCTCACACATGAGCTTTTTGGAGATATCTAATATCTAAACCATAACGGCCACTAATAAGGGGATCTTATCCTTGTGCTGGAACAATGAGGAAGTGCCTGCCCATTACATCTGGGTACTATGGCTCACTGAGTGCATTGATAGGTACTGATGTAAGGTAATGTGTTCTGCCTTAATAATCTTCCAATCTGGAGAGTATTTTATTAGATGTGGTTCTTATGCCCATCATACATTAGGCATGCCTCAAGAAAACCAATAGAAGATGAGTCTACCTAGCTGCCTATTTATCTCAATTTTAATTTTTACACAGCTGATTTCTTACTTTAGCAATAAATCAAAGCAAAAGTAACTGAACTGGGGGTTATGGATATGGCTCAGTGGTACAGTGCTTGCCTAGCATGCACAAGGTGCTGGTTTTAATGCCTAGTGCTGCCAAAAAAAAAAAAAAAAGAAAGAAAGAAAGAAACAAAACAAAACAAAAAAACTGAATTGAGTTTAGCTTGTTGTTTGTATGTATCTACTCTTAAACTTAAATCTGTGAGTTTTTGGTTTGAGCAATTGATTATGTAGATGGTGAAGTTCAGTTTTGGACATTCTGTCTTTGAGGTCTCTTTGATAATTCAAATAGAAATAGGATCAAAATCCCACAAGAGATTCATGGATTAAAAATAMAAATTGAGAGTTCTAAGCTAAATATTTCAAAATTGGAATCAATGGCATGGATGAGATCACCTAGGGAGAGAGTATAGTTAGAAGAGAATATGTCTAGGAAATGAACCTGAGAAAAACATATTAAATACTTGAGGATATTGAATAGGCTGAAAAGACAGCAGTATATATCAGAATAGTAAGAGAAGCATGGTGTCTAAATAACAGGAGGAAGACTATTTTAAGTGGAACATGGTCAAGAGTGTGAAATGCTACTGAGAGTCATGTAAAATGGAAACTGAAAGTGTCCACTGGATTTAGCAACAGAGGTTATTGATGGCATTAGTCTGAACTGTTTTGGTATAGTGGTGGTGGTTAACTCTGAATATAAATAGTTGTTTCAGGTCTGTCTGGGAGGTGAAGAGAGGGTACTAAATACAGACAATCCTTGAGAAATTTAACTTTAAAGTGATGAAGAGAGTTTAAAAGCAACATTTTAGGAAGACAGAAAAGAGGAGAGAGCAAAGTAGTAATAATTGGTTAATTTCTACTCAATTTAATGCATAAGCATTTGTTCACTGCACAAAGGGCACCGGGCAAAGAACTGAAAATTGAGAGATGAGTAAGAAGCAATCCTTTCCCTCAAGGTGGTCAAAAATTAGTAGGGGCAGGTTATMGATGGATAATTACTACAAGGGAAGATACTTTAAGTAGCAGCATAGGCAGGAATGGAGTATCTTTATTAGGAAGGAAATCAGAAGATGTAGAAGTGATGTTTGAACTGAGTTTTGAATTCATATGCATTAGTAAAATGACTTTGAGGAAGATATTCCAGGCAGAGGGAAAAGCACAGTTTACTGGAAAACTATATGCAGCCTTTAAARAGCATGGATTCTTGGAATTATTGCCTAGATTTAAATCTTGCCTCCCTCATTATCAGCTCTGGGGCCTTCGGAAATCACATCTTTGCAAAGCTGAARTTTACTCATCTATAAAATGAAGACTCAATCCCTGAGTTAAAAAATAAAAAGAAAAGAAGGAAGGCTGATAATTCCTATCTCATAGGATTTTAGAATGGCTACAAAGCTGCTGAGAGCTCTGAATTAAATATCTGGCATATAGAAAACATTCAATATGCAATAACTCATAATTATAGGATCTAAAATGCAAGAATAAGGGCGGGGTCTGAAGCTAAAGAAGGTAATCAGAGGTCAGATCATGACAGATTTGTCAGGAAGGACAGCACTGTTCCCAGCATTAATTAAAACAAACTAGTGCAATTATTAGGAAACAGTTAAACTAAAGTCAGGCTTAATTCCATTAAAAAACACTGTTCAGGAAGTTTCTTAATTATAATCTTCTGTTGATGAAGCCTAAGGCAACAGGTATGTACCTTATAGTCTACTAATTAGGAGGCCAAGGTTGCTAACCTTTCATTGTGCAATTTGCAAATATATTTTACATTACAACATCTTGTAATACAGTGCATTATTTTCCATAAGATTATTGYTAAACTTCAGTTTTCTTATATTTTTCCCTATGTTTTTAAAAAATGAACTAGTAACATGATGATTCTATGATTTCATTATATTAGAAAAAGCTAGTTAGGGATGTAGTGGTGTAGCCTAGCATGTGTGAGGCCCTGGGTTCATTCTACCCCCAATTTCAAGGGAAAAAAAAATTGTACCCTACCACAAAACAACAAACACTGATCACATAGGGCAGGCCAATCTTTAGCATTTGGCAGAGGCATTTTAAGGGTAGTCAGACTGCAGCAAAAGCTACAGTTGGATCTAGGGAAATTTGCAAGAAAATTGGGGCCTCTTATCTTTTTGTCATAGTTTGAATGGACAAAGGTTTCAATACTATAAAATCAATAATTTATCCTTTAGGTTTTTAAAAAAATATTAATTTTTTTACTTGTAGTTGGACACAATACCTTTATTTTTACTTACTAATTTTTATGTGGTGCTGAGGATCGAACTTAGGGTCTCCCATGTGCAAGGCGAGTGCTCCACAGCTGAGCCACAACCCCAGCCCTATCCTTTAGATTTTTATTTTGAGCAAGTTGTTTCTTTTTCTCTTTGAGAGAGTTCAACTTCTCACTCRTGTTAACAGTATTCCTTCTGTAGGAGGAATTTCTGCCTTGAAAACATTTCTGGGTTACTACTGCTTGGAGTGCAGAACTCTATATATAGAACATTTTTCTTTCTTTTTTGGGTACTGAGGATAGAACCCAGAGGCACTTTACCACTGAACCACATCCCCAGCCCTTTTTATTTTTTGAGTCAGGGTCTCACTAAGTTGAGTACAGCCTCACTAAGTTGCTAAGGCTGGCCTGGAACTTGTGATCCTCTTGCCTCAGGCTCTKGAGTTGCTAAGATTACATGAACTCACCACCACGCCAGTTGAGTATTTTTGAAGTTAAAAAGATCATGCTGGGATTGGGGGTATAGTTCAGTGGTAGAATGCTTACTTAGCTGTCTAGCACTTGCAGGGACCTGGATTCAACCCCAGCGTAGGGGGACCTGAGAGGCAAAAAATAAAAAAATAAATTAAAAAAAATTATGCTGCTGATATCTTCATTTGGAAAATGTTCGTTCCTGATGATTCCTGTGTTATACATCTTTCCACTGGCATTTTTAACACTGACTTGGGCATTTGATATGAAGCATATTGTTAATGCTGGTTTTGTTATTTGGTATGAAGTGATTTTATTGTCTGGTTCCTGTGCCTCAATTTCCCTTATCGTTTTCTGATCATCTGGACCTATAAATAATACATCACTTTAGTACGTTCACGTATGTRTAATTGGGTCAATTCTGAAAGATGTAATGGCTCTTCGGGTTCATTTCTCATGAACCCAAGTACGGTTGACTGTACTTTCCCAAGGCAGGTCTCCCCTTTCCGCTCCTAGGTTCTTGATAACTACACAGAGATGATCTATGCGTGCAGGGGTCTTTTCAGGGACTCTGGATTTTAGAGTGTTCCCTTCCCATTCCTCGCCCAAGGTAACATCTACGATCCAGTACACAGTACAAGCGCGGATGGCTGAATCAAACGTTTCGGGAAATAATACTACCTGATATTTCTTTATTTCACAGAAAACTGAATCTAACCACACGCACCTGTACGCCTTCCACGTAGGAACCAGCTAGATTGGTTTTACGAACCACTAACGGGTGTTTAAAGGCAGGCTCCTCTAGCAATCTTCACTGCAGCTAAGTCTGTCACAACCCTTCCAGAAAGCGGCGCTTGTGGCTTGCCAAGCCGCCGCTCGCTGGAGGACGCGGGGTTCTCTGCGGGATAGCAGCGCGGAACGCCACACCACGCGACGCGCGACTCGGTGGATGATGCAGGACTCGACCCATTTCCCTGCCCTCCCGCTTCCTCGACGCCAGTCCCGCCTCCTGAATCTTTTCCTGGCGAATTTTAATTTCTCCTCCGCCAAGCGGGCAGAGCGCCGAAAGATCGATGCTGCCTCCACGCCCCGAGAGCCGCCATCTTTTTTTTTTGGGGCAGGGGAGGGGGGAATGGCAGGAGAAATACGTGTAGGTGCAGCACAAGCTCAACGGGATGCTGACTGGGTTTAGTTTCTTCTTTTCCCAGCACGGTTGGACCAGACCGGCAGAATCCACCAAGGCCCTCTCTCTGACTACCTCTCCGGAATGAGGTCTCAGCCCCCGTGCGACACAACCCCGTTTTCTGTCCCACAGTGAGTGCAGCGCGGCGGCGCGGTATCCGTGCGCGCCTCCGCGCGCCCTCTGCTGTCAGTTGCCCCGCGCGTTCCCGCCGGCGCGCGCGCCGCTCCCCACACGCCCGCGCCCCTCCCCCGCCCGCCGGGCTCTCGGCGCAGGCTCGCTTGTTTGTTTCTGCAGGAGCCCAAGGAGAGGCCGAAGCCGAGACGATGCCTGGGAAGCTGAAGGTGAAAATCGTGGCCGGGCGCCATTTGCCAGTGATGGACCGTGCTAGTGACCTGACTGATGCCTTCGTGGAGGTTGGTGCAAGGTCTTGCCCCTCAAAATCCAGAGAACGCCAAGCCCAGTGAAGGATCTACCCACCTGCTCCCAACCCCTCAGCCCATTCCCTTTCCACTGCCCTGCTGTCTGTCGTGCTTGTCCAGACCTCCCAAGAGGGATGTCCGCCGAGGCCGAAGCCCATGTGATGGGTGCATGGCTGGCCGCACTCCGCGGTACGCCCCGCCGCGCGGAGAGGTTCTTACTGCTCTGCATGCCGGGTGACCCTAATGTCTAGGCTCACAACAGGCCACCTGCCAGTCAGCACAGATCCCGAGGCGTGGCCGCGCGGCCACGGAAACACAAGCACGTCCTTCTCTAGGGGAAGGATGACTTTTGATGCCTGTGTGATGGACCTCTGCGTGAGAATGTACATACAGCCCTTTATGGGCATTCCGAGTCCTACAATGTAGGATATCCACCTTTAGCCTGACATTTTCAGAACCATCAGTGTAAGTTCCAAACACAACTGGAACACTTTCTCTCTTGTATAGWCTGGTAGGTCCAATGAGCTGTTTCAAGTGTAAATTTAGTGCCTTGAGGTAGGAAGTCATTAAGTGCTATGGATTTAAATTACAAAATTGCTTTTTAAATCTAATGATTAGTTTAAAAGTCATGCAAATTAGTGCAGGCGTACAGCCTGGAAAGTAATAAACCAGAGGCTGAAAGAAGCCAAGAAAATATTGCAATAAAAGTCGACATGATGAGCCAAAGGATTACAGCAATAATAGTTTAGGCTATTAATGCTTAAAGTTAATAGATACATGATAATATACAGCCTGATTTCATCTCAATATAAAATATTTTTTGTATTCCTTAAATGTTCTYTCACCACTGTAGTTTACCTCTACTTGTCATGGTAATTCTTAATCCCAACTTCATATTCATTTGAAAAAATTCTGTATGCTTTTGCCTAGATGTTAGGTAATAGGGATACACAGATAACCAAAGCATACTTTTCCCACACATTTTAGTAACTAATAGGTAACATGAATTGTATTTCATTATTGCCATATCTGTGCTAAGTACTTTTTAATTATTATCCCATATTACAGTTGAGGTAACTGAGGCCCAGGGATGATAATATATTGTATAAGATTACTTAGCTTGTAAATCTCCATAGCCTGGCAATCATTTCTCCTAACTACTACTACTAACTACTACTTGCCTCTCCAGGCAAGATGAAGAGTGTTAAATTCAAATATGGCAACTTAATTCTGTCTCTGAAGGTTTAGGAAAACTTGTAAGGAACTGACATTTGAAGCAACACTTGAATTGGGCCTTGAGGGACACCCAGAATTTTTACTGTACAGAAGGAATACAAAGACAAGAATTTGATACCTGGTATATTCAGGGAACCATCTTAATTTGAGATGTGTCTGGAATAAAAGGGGTATGTGAGTTTGAGGGTTTGAGGCTGGGCTGGTAGATTTGAGTCAAATCTAATTTCTAATGTGTTTTTCCTTTATAAATAGGCAGTGGTAAGCCAGGGGAGCTTTTTCAGTGGAAATAAAAGATTCTATTTGTATTAGGTTGTTTCTTTTGGGGATTACCTGAATTTATTGATTTATTATTTATGGTGCTGGGATGAAACCCAGGGCCTCGTGCATGCTAGGCAAGTGCTATGTCACAGAGCTCTATTCCTAGCCTGATAGGTCCTTGATGTACTGGACYGATGTGAAGCAGGAAAAGCAGTTAAGAAGATGGTAAAATTGTCAAGGCAATATGTGGAAATGGGAATAGATTAGTAAAGATTTGAGAATATTTTTGAGATTAAAATTCTTAGGCTTTGAAAACTGGATTTTGCTGGGGGGGGGATCAGGTTCAAGGGTGACTCATTAATTTCATTGTTCAATAAATAGTTGTTGAGTGTCAGCAATTTGCTAGTTCCTGTGATCCTTACTGGTCTAGTTGATATATGACAGTGAACAAGACAGACTTTGTTCTTGCTTTTAAGGGACTTATTTTTGTGACCGAGACAGACATTTAAAAAGCAAAGAAATTATTAAATATATGATTATAAACTGTGGTGAGTACCGTAAAGAAAACAATAAAAAGGGAATAATAGGGAACATTTACCTTAGGTTGAATAAAATCAGTCTGAGTGTCAAGCAAGCAAAGACCGATTGAATGAAAAGGAGCCAACCRCTCAGGGAGTGCTTGTGTGTAAGCATAAGCATAAGGCAAGGGGACAGAAGAGAAGCTGGAAAAGGAGGAAAAAAGAGTCTCAGTAGAGGGAGGACGCTGAGGAGACTGGTGTGTTGTAGGAAGTGAAGGAGCATGTTTATGGCAGTCATGTTGTGAGTAAAGGGGAGAATGGTATAAGATAAAGTTGGAAAGTTGGTCAAGTAGCCATGATTAGGATTTGGAATTTTATTTTCTTTTGTGGTACTAGGAAGTGAACCAGGGGCACTCTACCACATTTCTAGCCCTTTTATTTTTTATTTTGATAGAATCTCACTAAGTTGCAGAGGCCTTGAACTTGTGATCCTTTTGCCTAGCTTCAGAGTTGCTGAAATTACAGACCTATGCCACACACCAGGCTTGGAATTTTATTGTAATTTCAATCAGAAGCAGTTAAGCGAGCCTTTTTTTGCTATGTAGGGAATGGAATGAAGGGAAAACAGTGGAGGCAGGCACCTTGCTGTGAGATTCTGAAATAGTTCAAATAACAAGTAGTGAGGGCCAAGGTAATGTTTTGGTAGTGGAGAGAAGTGGATAAATTCCAGATATATTTTGAAAGTAGACTAGAGAATTTGTTGATAGATTGGAGTCATGGAGGAAGGAAAGGAAGATTGAAATATGATTCCTAGCTTTCTGTAGTCAGTGGGGTAATATTTTGAGATGCTACAGGGATGATAGAGACATATTGGAGATAATCAGTTTCCATTTGGGCATGTTAGAATGAGATTGTCTTTAGGACCTTTCTTTGTGATTGTAAAGGAGGCAATTGGATTTGTTACTCTGGTATTCTAAAGAGAGGTCCTGGTTAAAAGTGTTTCTCAACCTTTGAGACTTAGTACCCCCTTAATATAATAGATATTTTGATGTCTACTCTTAATATTCTGGCATGATTTTCATAGCTAATATAATTTATCTGTGCTCATAATAAAAAATCAATGCAGTGCTTCGATCATAGTATGACAGAGAAATAAAGGTTTTTTTTAATGATTTCAATATTGAAATATTTGTCCATAAGCATAATAGAAAACAGGAAGTAATCAGATTGAGTCAGGGGATATTTATTGAACCCTTGTATGCATCAGACACTGTAGTGGGCAGTAAATAAAGTGAAAACTACTTTGCTCACAGAACTTACCTTTTCGTGGGACGGGAAAGTACATAAAAAATATAAGTAAAAGATGCAGTATGCTAGATGGTAAGAGTGTGCCCTGGAGAAAATAGAGCTGGAACATTCGATGGAGATTGCCTTACCTATGTGTAAAATCAAATGACTGCCCTTCGTGGAGTGAGGCAGAGGTGTAGTTCTGGCATCTCATAAATCTTCGTTGCTATTGGTTATCTGATTTTCCAAAATATTCAACTCATGGAGAAGAACCAGAGTTGTCTTTTGATTATATGATGGCTTTAGTTTCTAAAACTATACTTTGATCTGTAAAACTGAGTTAAGTTCTAGGTAGATTTCTTAGTCATGTGCCTATCTGGTGGGACATTTAAATGTCATGACATGGGACAAATCTTCATTGTTGTGACTTTTGCCTTGTAGGACTCCTACTATCTCTAGTCCTTTCTCATTAGCTACTACTATTGTTTCCCCCCAAACACTACTAGAATTTCTAAAGCTTTCTTAGAAGTTGATTCTTTTCCTTTTGGCAAACTTCTAACTCTTAGGGAAGAGAAAAGTGAGATGGATCCTTGAAAAAAATATCAAGAGGTATATTAGAGGATGACTAGAGAAAGGAAGCTGAGATTGTCAGGCAGTGGGTGGGCAGGGGGCAAGGTGGGGGGAGAAAAATAAGGAAGTAAGTCCTAAAAGGCCAGAGGAAGTTTCTAGAAAGAAGAAATACTCATCTGTCAGATGGCACTGAGAAATCAAATAAGAGAACATAGAAATCATTGGATTGGACAATATAGAGGTTGTTATTGATCTTGATGAAAGACTTGATGAGGATGAAGCCCACACTGTAATGAGTTAGAACTAAAGTATGTAAGAAATGAGGAAATAGAAATAACAGGAGTAGGCAACTGTTTCAAGAAATATGGGTATGAAGGGATAAATAAAAAATACTGTGGTACCTAAGTATGTAGGTTTTAGATATTTTAAAACTTGTTAGAAAATACTAGAACATATTTGTGCTATAATAGGAATAACCCAGCAGAAAGGGGGAAATTAAAGCAGGAAAAAGGGGATAAAAAAGGATTACCACATAATAAGGGGATAAATTTTGTAATATAGGCTATAAGTAATATAAGCTCACAGGAAAGGAAGATAATGAATCCTAGGCTGGCGCTCTCTCTCTCTCTCTCTCTCTCTCTCTCTTTTTTTTCTGAAGAGGGAATCTTCCTGTGTTGCCTAGGCTGCCCTAAACTTCTGGGCTTAAGTGATTCTCCCTCCTCAGTCTTCCAGGCTACAGATACATGCCACCAGGCCTGGCTAGTTAAAAGAAATCTTTATGCTGGGACTGTAGGATGGTAAAATTTCCATAGGCAGAGAGAAAAAGGAGCATTTTCAGGTGAATAGGATGAGCCTGGTAAAAGCAAAAGGAGGGAGAGAGCACATGTAATTGAAAGAAGGGTTCTGTCAAATAGAAGTGGAAATAAAAGCAGTTAAAGGGGATACAGAGTGCTGAGTAGTCTGATAATCAGAGTAAGAAGATTGTGTAATAGAAGCTTTCTTAGCCAACTTCCATTGACTGACTCATTGCAGTCTTCAGTGCTCTGCATGTCTTCCATCAAGCATATTCTTAGATTCCCCCCATATCATTAGACTACTCTAAAGAGAGTGTGCCCCCATAAGTTG